ATAACAGATACCCCTGTCAAAGTGTCGCGAAGTCTAGGATTTCGCCGTTACTGCTGATAGACCCCTGACCCGCGACACTATAGTTCATAAATGACAATAGAATTTATTGTATATTTGTCGTAATTTTGATCATGCGATTTCTAATGTAACATTTACACGAGTATAATTGCATTTTTGGGCATATAATGGATGAAGATCACCCTTCCCGGTCCAAGAAACCAAATAATCCGTTCCAGAATTATTTTGTAAGACTTTATGGAACCAAATTCAGAACTTGATTTATGAATTGTAAAACATAGAACTCTGTAAATTATTGTACTGCAATACAGCAATTTCACATTAAACTCTATTAATTGTATTTGTCTAGCTTTTTTTGATCTAAAATTATTAATAACGGAAGAAACTGCAAATAAATCCGATGCCCCTTCACATTCGGCTGATTCCCTTGGATTAAAATAAGCAAACTTTAAAGTTTTATACCGTATTACGCAAATTTGTTAAACAAGAAATAATCCAAAACCACCAAACTTATTTAAGTCTTAAATATGTATTTGCTTACAGCCCAACATCACTTCATTCTGAATTGAAAATGGCGTTTCAAATATTTGTTAGAGGTCTTGAAGGAAAGACGACTACGTATAATGATATTACGTCGGAAACCAAGTAAATACAATACGTAAAACTTTGATATAATATTTGAATTTCACACCAATAATTCGATTTGTTGCTTCCAGAATTAAAGATATTAAGAAAAAGGTGAAAGAAAAGATAGGTATAGATGTTAACGAGCAACGACTCATTTTTGTCGGAAAGCAACTTGAAGATGATAAAACAGCAGGGCACTATAATATAGTGAAAAGCTCTACACTTCACTTGGTCGTTCGGTAAGAAAGATGCCGTCAAAATAAGGAACAATTGGTTAAATCTTTCGCTATATCGCGATCCAATAGATTTCTGCACCAAAAATTTTATTTTTATATTTGTTAAATAATAATTTGTATTTTAGACTTCCGGGTGGTGCAAGTGAAAAACGTCACGATTCAAAAAAAGACGTTGAGCTAACCACTGATCCTGACATGATCACGTAAGTACTCTCAGTTTCTTGGTCCTTTATTTAGCAAACTAAATGGTCTTTTATCTATAGTCTTGATGATGACCCAAAAAACTTACGTGCAAAGGTAACAGATATTATTTTAATTATTTAAAAATATCATACTAATTTCAAATATTTTAAATCCCTTTAGATGCCATGTGGCCACGCTATTGGTGCTGAATCCCTGACTGCATATTGCAGATCACTTGTTAGCGAAGGAAAATTTCAATTTTATTGTCCGTATATCGACCGTGAGTACACGCACGTCTATATCTGTCAATCGATAATGATTTACTAGATTTCTTACCATTATTTATATATGTAAATTAAGCGACAAGCAATGATCGCTGTTATTCGGAATGGCAATACGCAGACATCCTCAGGATAGGTCTGCTTAATGACGAAGAACGTGAATATTTTGAGACTAAAATTAGCGAAAATTATTCTTTTCGCGCTCTTGGAGTTCAAGAATGTCCTCAGGTGAGACAAAAAATTATTTTCAAGTGTTTTATTTAGCTTTTGTTGACTCCAAGTACCTTCGGTAGTGCTCCACATTTTGTGAAAGAATCGATAAAAATCGATCATCAGTAATTTGCATAATATGCTCAAGAAAACCGGGAGCCAAAGAATTCGCATTTTGTTGGTACTGCTTGCATGAAGTTAAAAGTAAAAATAGTTATCGTTGTGATAACAATCTCTGTGAAGGTATTGATCCACGTCTAGTCATTCTCAAAAATGCGGCCAAAAAGGTGAAGTTTCCCATTCGATGACTTTTTTTTTCTTTTGTAATTGCATAATTTAACCGTAATTGTTCAATTCATTATGTTATTAGGAAATAGGAAATATATCTGGTGTACCATCTCTCCGCGCATGCCCGAAAAGTGGTACAATTATCGAACATGAATCACGTTGCAAGCATATGAGATGTCCTTGCGGTCAAGAATTTTGGTACTTATATTAGTGTTAATAGTTTAAACAAATATAAAAACTCTGAACTAATTCTTTCTATACAATATAAAGTTTTATTTGTCTTAGCTTGCGTAATCGAGAAACGGGAGCATGGCCATGTGGTGCATACAACAGTGTATGCAATATCGCACCCTTACAGACCACTCTTCCAAATTAATACTCTTGCTCTACACTGAAGCAGGGAAAATATTTTTGGATTTTGGATTATTGTTATAATATCGTTTTGTTGGTTATTTATATAATGATATAGCATTTATTTTAGGAAAAGTAAAATCTTTATTTTCGAGCTAATTTCTTTGTCTATTTGAATATTTAAATAAATTGGTTTTGTTTTTTTGGGTTTCAACCTGTATTTATAATCTGTCATTTGTTCACCGTGTTAATTTATCGTCGATATTCAATTGATGCTGAATTTTGTTTCTGAGGAAAAAAACTCTTTCAGGAATTGTATCAATAATAAGAATAGGAATTAAATCCGTCTAATAAATAAAAGTCAACTCGTAACACTAGGCTGCGTTATGTTAAAAGTCCTTTATAAAGGAAGAGAATCATAAACTTTGAAAGACATTGATTACGTCATTGAGTATATTTTAATATGCAAAAGTGAAAAATTCAAAATCCCATACTTTAAATATGCATTTTACCAAAAAATAATAAAGGATTTTTTATTTTTTATTTTCATAAAAATTTATTCCCTATTTGATATAACAGTTTTATGCGCTCGACAACATATGATAAGTTAGTTACTGATTTATGAGTACTTCGAAAAATAAAATACCATTATATTCGGGCATATATATTGAAGTTATTTATATTCACGATTATTGAAGTTATTTATATTCACGATTATTGAAGTCGGAACAACCATTGTGCGTATTGACTATTCAGAGAAAGAGTACTATCAATGTAAACTTGTTTGTGATAGCCGAAGAAACGATAAAACTTCATGAAGAAAATTACTAGTATGTCAATTCATTATTCTTGCTACACACGTAGGCATAAGTTTCATTTCAATATCAGGAAACTGAGGTAAATATATTTTGTAAATATTCTTAATAATTAGTGACATTATTCGTCCATTAAAATGATTTAAATTTATAATAATAATTACAAAATTCATTTACCAAATTTAATTGTACATTAGAAGATTATTTAATAAACGTTATTCTTTTAAAAAATTCTAGACTAATACATGTTCTCTTGGAATATATCAAATTTCCACAATCTAAAAATAATCTTTCACTAGGAGTTGAGGTACCTGAAACTGAAAGTAAGTGTCAATGCACTATTATAGTAAATATATATATATATATTTAATTTTCACCAAGACAAAATATCATTGTTAATTAATACTTGTGAAATAGCAAAATATTCATCAAGTTCACTTTGGGTGTTATCAAATGATAGATAATTAGATATTAAAAAAGTTGGTTGGTAAAGATTAAACGATTCAAAATTAGAAGATAAGTAAAAGTTGAGGTTGAATAAATTGCAAATAGCTTATAAAAAAGTTGTTAAGGATACCAATCTACTATTTTATATATTGTAATATTTATATTTTAATAAGAATTAAACTTATTCTATTTTTTCAAATAAAAAACCAAGTTTCTTATTTCAAGATTCAAGACCAGAAAATACAGTAAATATGACATTATAAAATCTTTTTTTCAATAAAAATAATGTCTAAGGTTTTGTAGTTTATATCAAAATATTTAATTAAAATTATTGGATTGATATTTTCATTTTAAAAAATTACTTTAAAAAATATGTTTAAGAAGTTAAAAAATAATAATAAAAGATTTAAATAAATTCAAAACCTTAAAAAAAAAATCAAAAAAAAACATTAAATGCAATAAAAAAACCATTAAATATTGTAACAGGGAGAAATGGGACGCGACGTTAGTCACATAACCAATCGACATGACAATGGTAAGTCAGCTGTGATAATTAGGTAATAAAGGAAGGACGGGAAGGATTGTGAAAAAAATTATGTAATTCATTAATTATTATTATGTCTAAGCCGCCATAGCCAAATGTAAAGTATAAAAGAATGTAAAGTATAAAGGGGGAGACAAAAATGAAACTAGAAAGTAGAAATTAATAAAGATTCGACCAAATCAAAACACGCCTCAAATCATCCTTTTATTCATTTACCCAGTAACAGTTATGTGAATCTCTGCCAGAGTTAGTGACTGACTTGTCGTTACACTGTTACAATATACTGTATATAAAAAATTATGCAAAAAAATTTTTTTAAATTAAACTTGAAAATTTCCTTTTTAATAATTATTAATATAAACTAGAACTCTGAAGAACACAAAACTAGTATCAAAATAATTTAAAATTGTATTAATTTATAATAAATTAAATATATGTATCATAGCTTATTTATATAAATTTATAATAAATTTAAATATTAAATTGATATATTTTTTTTTCTGATAAATAAACATCATTTCTTTATTTATTGATATGATACTTACTAGTTATATACACTTGTGAAAAAAATAATATCTTTTGGATGCAAAGCATACAACAAGTTAAATGCTAGCTTGCCTATCCATCTATATCTATCTAATAGGAATCACAGTTTTTATCCGAATCTGACTAATCCATGAATCGGATATGAATTGGATCGAATCGAATTTTAAAATTTTTAATCTAATCGAATTAAAATTGAATTGAATTTTAAATTTTTAAATCTGGTCAAATACAGATCAGATTTGAATTAGATATAGCTTAGTCTATATAAATCATTAATAGCTATTTAATTTTATTTAAATTGAACTAACTAGGAAATTAAAATGAAAAACTTGTTTTTTTTTACTAATATATAAAAGATTATATTAAAAAAATTAATATCTGTTCGCTCAACCCTTTCGATAATTTTTTAATGATTTTAAAAAGTTTTTTTTTTAAATTTTTGGTAAGTTTTATATATTAAAAAAATTTTTTTAATATTATTTTAATATTATAGATTTATATTTAACTGCTTTAATTAATACAGTTTGTTTTTCAATAATTTAAATATTTTTTAAAAATGAAACATGAAAACTTATTCGATAACATGTAATACTTATATGAAGAAAGTAATAGTTTAATAAGCCATAATAATAATGACAACAACAATGTTGATACAAACAATTTATCAGAAACTACTTCAATTATTTCAATAATTTCTAGGAGCAAAATATGGAAACATTTTATAAAAAGTTCAAATTTTAAAAATAACAAAAAGGTTACTTGTAAATATTGTAGAACAGTATATATATATATAGTGGAAGTAGTACTTTTAATCTCATAAAACATCTTGAAAAAACCCATTCAGCAAAATTAAATCTAGTAACTGATAATTCCAATATAGAAAATTTTTTAAAACACAGGTAATTTACAAAATATTTTAAAATTGTAAAGAATATTACTAAATTTTATTTATATTTAATGAATATACAATCCTGCAAAAATGAAAAAAAACTTGTCTATTGAATTGTTATAAACCAGCAACTATTTATGATTATTCAAGAACTAGCTTTTCTTGAATTTATATAAACACTTGCACCAGATGTAAAAATACTTCAGCTACTTCTATTAAGACAAGTATAATAGATTTTTATTTAAATGATCAGAAAAAAATTCAAAAAATATTATAAGAAACAGAAAGCCGAATTTTCTTTACATTAGATATTTGGACATCAGTTTCAATGAAAGCATTTCTAGCTATAACTATATATTTTATTGATAAAAATTGGATAATGCGATAGATTTTATACAATTGTGAGGTATCTATTTAGGTAAAAGTATTAAAGAAACATTTTTATCATGTTTAAACAAATTTATGATACAAACTAAAATAAATTTATCTCACATATTATATTTAAAATAAATATTATATATAACTGATATTATTATTTAAGACCTGTGGGTCCATAGCACAGTGGTTAGTGCTCCACAGATCAGATCACAAGATACAGGTTCAAATCATCCAGGGGGCTAACGTGGAATCTCTGATTAATCCAAGCAGGTAGGATCTGCATCCATTGGCTTAACCAAAAACAACTAATGTTTCCGAGTATAGT